CTCGCTATTCGCGGGGGGTAAAGAACGTAACCCCCGCGAATAGCGAGGGAATACTGTACACATATACATATTTAGTGTATGGTAACCAAAATGTGATTGTATTTTACAAAATACTGGTGCACTAGTACAAAGACTAAGGCCTTTATAGTTTGTAAAAGCCAGAGTTATGCTATTTTATGCAGTTATGTAAACTGCATGTGGAAATTGTGATGTACAAATTGTATGGCAGTATTATTAGACAGAAACAGTTCATAGGTAAATAAAACAAATTAATAAATATAAACATATGTATACTGTTACAAGAGTTAGCTGTTTAGAATAAATAAATATTTGTGGTTTCCTGATATAATTTATAGTCATTCTAGAAAGAAAAAAGGGTAATTTAAATTTATTTCCTAATTTTTATGGAGGTTATGAGGTCAGTCAAATTGACTAACCCCATATAGAATTAAGGTAGATAAAATATATATAAAGTTCTCTAAAAATAATGTTTGATAGTTATTTAGGAGGTTAAAGAAATTTGACAACTTTCAGATAAAGAAAAGTAATTTAAGTCTTAAAATCAAAATTACTTTCCATGTTGGATAGTCATCATTCCAAAAGAAAAAATTTACGAGCAAATCTTTAAGTGAAAAACCTCATATTTTGTGTATGAAAGACTTGTAATGTTTACTGATAATCTGTGCAAAAATTTCATGAAGGTATGCTTACATTATCAAAAGTTATAGTATGAATATTCTCATGGGTTACTTTGGTGGTTATGGGCTGGGTGCAATAAACCTAGACCCATAGTCAAAGAGTTAAAGGTAAAGTCACTCATAAAATCCAAATATGTAGCAGTATAACTTAGGCTATGGCAGCATTCAGTGGTGGTTGGCAACCCTGTTACAGAAAAAATGATAATGTATGTATCCAATGAAGTGCACTTATAGATTTTCATCAGGCAAAATTTGGGAATGTTGTCGGGGGAACATCTATTAAAATGTGTACTGGAACCATGTATATAATATCATCCAGATTAATGTTATTACACTGATCTCTTTTTGGCCTTGTTTTGCTGGCCTGGAAATTTTTTAATGTATTGGTATGTGAAAATGTTTTGTATTTTTTCTAAGGTTATATCTCACAATGCTGAATACTTTCAGCCTATGGAAGAAGAAAATTGTTTTTCATACATGAGATTTAGGCCTATGAAAATTTTTCCCATCAAAGTCAGTTATAGGGTTTTGTATGTTGAATGTCTGTATATATTTGTTTTTCTCATCAAATTAAACCCTAGTGGGCTTTGTCACCAAACTACACTGGAGAAATTAGTCTTTATTCGATGTTTACTTAATTCACTTTCCTGTTCTAGTGATAAAATTACCAAGCATAATGGTCAAAAAGGCTCATTAGCACTCATGCTGACTGACAACACTATCTGATAATATGTTTGTATTTGTGTATTTAAATGCAAAGCTAAGCATTGGATCAAACTCTGAATTTGAGCATTATAAGCCCTCAAGCTTACTGCTAAGCCACCTGAGGCTGTTTATTGTTACCTTATGTTTTGACCATTTTAATGATGGAATGCCACTTCAAAGGAGATGTTTATCAATTTAATCTCTCCAATTGTCTTTTTAATATTGCTTCAATTTTATTTTGATTACTTTCATTTTTCTGAATTGGTCCTTTTATGACTGATTGCAGACAGTTTGTAAATGAAATGATGCGAGTTAAGGGCACCCATATCTGCTCTTACTTTTCATTTGAAAATATGTTACCACATGTTATGGTTATGGATACAGGTTAAATGTCATAAGTTGTATTCTCTCATGATCCATTCTACTGTATCCACTCTTTAGTTGTACCTTATCTATCTTACGTGTATAAATGTTGCTTTTTTCTTGTCATGGATTAAACATTCATGGATATGCTGCTGAATTATGATTTTTTTTATTCTATTTAATAAAATTAAAATGAGCATGTTGATTTTTTTAAGATACCTCTGTTCAATATTTTTACTATTGCTATGTATTTTCACTCAAATCACACAGTAACATATTGATTTACATGCAGGTACAATCACTTAGATACCAATTGTATTGTCAGGACATTTATTATAAATCTTTTACCCTTTTTTCCTTCTAGGAGTACAGCTGCTGCAAATGGAATAGCTGTTAGAAAAGATTATGAATCTGAAAGTAGGCGAGATCGAAAGGATGTTAAGTACGTGTTTTAGGACATGTAATATTGTTCATTTTATTTTTCTTAAACAGATGTTTTCCATTGTAATCTTTTGTCTATTTTAATATTTTACAATCCAGCACATTTTAATCCTTTATCTTAGTTAAACAGAGCTTTTAATTCTTTTACTGTCATGGAAACATGTATTTCTCATTCTAGAGCAAAGCCATTCCAAAACTTATTGGCCTCTTGTGTCGGATAATTAATGAATAATCAAAGTGTATTATTTTTACTTATGTATCTAAAAATAAACCTGGCACTGGGAGAATTTATCTATAAATATGGTGGTGATAAAGTTAATGAATGGTACTGTTACTTTATAGTTTTCTGAAGTCAGCTTTTAAACAGTGCAAATTTTAAGAGTGTAGATTTCACTAGTTAACTTTTTATCAGTTGTGTAATTGCTTTGCCAGCTGTTCTGCTGTACTTGAGATGTAATTTCATTCATTTTTTGCAGTAGGGTGGCTTGTTTCGATTTCAGTCTAACATATTTTGAAATGAAAATAGTGATGGTGACACCCCATGAAAATATTTTAATTAGATAAAATTTAGTCAATTGTGCAAACATATCTTAAATACTGCATGACTTAGTTTTCACTTCATTGATTATTAAGAATGGAATTTGACAGGACTTTTAACCTATGACAATTGGTTTGTAAAGATCATAATGTGGCTAGTGCAATTTTTGGTTGTATAAGCCAATTTTAAGTGTTTTAACTGTAGAAATATTAAAAGTAGCACACCATTATGTCATTTAGAAATTTTTCTGAAGAAGGGAAATACGACACATGGTTGGATTTGAATCCAAAACTCACTTGACCCTTTCCAGACGAGTCACAGGTTAAAGGCCATGTAATCACATTTGTTGACTCATAATAAAAAATTGATTGAACTACTGTTACATGAATTTATGTCAGTAAGTTTGGTATCAAACTGTAGATTATAATTCAAATTTTAGTATTATACATTATTCAATTTCTTGATTTAAAAGTAAATAGTAAAAAAAAACACTAACATCAATTTTTTTGTGTCACATATGATGAATGCATCACTGGTTCAGATTAGATGTTTGTGAAGTCAAAGTACTAAGTCTATAGTTTCATACGAAATAGGAACTCAATTTACCAATATTGACAAGCTAGAATTTAAAATAAGAACCTTGTATCTTTTCTATTTGCTGAGATATCTTATGTACTGAATCAAAAACAGTGGCCCCGCTCACCTCTTTCTGTTTTTGGAAATGGTCCTTTACATACACTTACTTCAATATATGACATGTGAATAACCAATCTAAAGCTCAGAATGTCCCCCTAGTGGCTTTATCAGACATTTTAAACTGTTAGGATGCCATCCCGTTCTTTCTAACCAAGATTTCAAGAAGGTAGGTTGTGTCTGTAGTCTGCTCGAAATTTAAT